GTTTAACCATCATTTGTACGGAGTAGTTACCTCTCTGTCTTTTTGTTTTTTCCCCCCCCAAACCCCATCATCAACCGTCTATTATTATTATTAGTATTATCGCCATCCATTATTCAGGTCTTCTGTGAACGTAGTTTCTCCAGGACCCTCCCAAAGTCTCCCGCTCCTCCTTCCCACTTGCCTTTCTTGACTTTCTATTCTCTACACCATTTTTTATGTTGTAATCAGATTCCATTTCTTTTCCCTTTCAATTCTTCCCCCCTTCTGCTATCCATTTTCACACCTGGTCTCATCTTGAATTTTTCTTTCTTCTTTATAATTCTTCACCTACCCACTTTTTTAATAGCTGGGTGATGGACCAGCTGATGACTTTGACCCAGGCTTAACTCAGAACTACTTTGAAGACTAGGTAAGCAAGTTATTTACTTTTGCTTGCTTCTGGGGTGCAATTACTCGTCTCCGTTCCACTTGTAATCTTTCAGTTCAATAACAGAGGATCATCCCCTCGCAAAAAATCGGGGTTCAATGTTTCTTTTGGTTTGCAGATACTGCACCTGTAACCCGTTTGATATCTTTGCTTATTTGCTCACCTTACTTACATGCCATAGAATTCCGCGGATTTCATTTGGCATCTCCGTTTGCGGCTGACCTTTACTGCAAAAGACGTACACCTAAATACGAAATCACGAGATGTATGGATCATCTACGGGCCCTCAGACGGGCATTAATACCCCGCGCTCCTCCCAGTCCTTGCGACCTCTCATACTGTCGCATGGTTCGCTGGAGTTTTCTTTCCTCGTGCCAACCTCCCTTCATTTCCAAGCTTCGCAATTGAAAGATACCTTCACAGCCTCGTTACCGGAACCAACGGATGAGCTTGCCCAGGATGACGAGCCTTCTTCGGTAGCGGAACTTGTGGCTCGCTATATTGGCCATGTTGCTACAGAGGTAGAAGAAGGCGAGGATGATGCACATGGGACGAACTTGGAAGTCTTGAAGCTTGCCTTGAATGAATTCGAACGTGCCTTCATGCGTGGCAATGATGTCCATGCGGTTGCCTCGGCCCTTCCTGGAATTACCGCCAAAAAGGCTTCAGTTGTCAAGGCGTACTACGCTGGCAGGGCGGCTGCTGGACGACCCACCAAACCTTACGATTCTGCGCTCTTCCGTGCTGCTTCAGATGAGAAGGCCAACATTTATACCGTTTTTGGGGGACAAGGCAACATTGAGGAATACTTCGATGAGCTGAGAGAGATCTATACAACCTATCCATCCTTTGTCGATGAGTTAATCGCCTCGTCAGCGCAGTTGCTGCTGTCTCTCTCTCGCGAGCCGGAGGCGAGCAAGTTGTATCCCAAAGGGATGGATATCATCCAATGGCTGCAGGACCCGGACTCGCAGCCCGACACGGATTATCTGGTGTCGGCTCCCGTGAGTCTCCCGTTGATTGGTCTAGTTCAACTAGCACACTTCGTGGTAACTTGCAAAGCCCTGGGCCGTGAGCCTAGTGAGGTTTTGGAAAGGTTTAGCGGAACTACGGGCCACTCTCAAGGGGTCGTCACCGCTGCAGCCATTGCCTCCGCAACCACGTGGGAGAGCTTCGAGAAAGTTGCCAAGGATGCTCTGACTATGCTCTTCTGGATCGGTCTCCGTAGCCAGCAGGCTTACCCTCGCACATCTATTGCTCCATCGGTGTTGCAGGATTCGATCGAAAATGGAGAAGGAACCCCGACCCCCATGCTGTCCATCCGGGACCTCCCAAGGTCTGCTGTTCAGGAGCACATAGACATGACCAATCAACATCTTCCAGAGGATCGCCACATCTCTATCTCGCTCGTCAACAGCGCAAGGAATTTCGTTGTCACTGGTCCTCCGCTTTCGCTTTACGGTCTCAACCTCCGCCTGCGCAAAGTCAAAGCTCCCACAGGCTTGGACCAGAATCGTGTTCCCTTCACACAGCGTAAGGTTCGCTTCGTGAACCGGTTCCTTCCAATCACTGCTCCATTCCACAGCCAGTACTTGTATTCCGCGTATGACCGCATCTTGGAAGACCTGGAAGACCTGGAAATTCCGGCCAAGTCTCTTGCTATACCGGTTTATGGCACCAAAACTGGAGAGGACCTGCGTGAATTTGGTGATGCAAACATTGTTCCTGCGCTCGTGCGCATGATTACCCATGACGCGGTCAACTGGGAGCAGGCAACCGTTTTCCCAAGGGCTACCCACATCGTTGACTTCGGCCCCGGTGGTATCTCTGGTCTCGGCGTGCTTACGAACCGCAATAAGGACGGTACAGGCGTTCGTGTGGTACTTGCTGGGGCCATGGACGGCACCAATGCTGAGGTTGGTTATAAGCCAGAACTGTTTGACCGTGATGAGCATGCTGTGAAGTACGCCATCGACTGGGTCAAGGAGTATGGGCCGCGCCTTGTGAAGAATGCAGCGGGTGAGACGTTTGTGGATACTAAGATGAGCCGATTGTTAGGCATCCCTCCCATCATGGTTGCTGGCATGACTCCCACCACTGTTCCTTGGGATTTCGTGGCTGCAACGATGAATGCGGGTTACCATGTCGAACTCGCTGGTGGTGGCTACTACAATGCTAAGACGATGACGGAGGCAGTTTCCAAGATCGAAAAAACTATTCCTCCAGGCCGCGGTATCACCATTAACTTGATTTATGTCAATCCTCGCGCCATGGCATGGCAGATACCGTTGATCGGAAAACTGAGAGCTGACGGTGTTCCTGTGGAGGGTTTGACAATCGGTGCTGGTGTTCCATCAATTGAAGTAGCCAATGAGTACATCGAAACTCTCGGCATTAAGCACATTGCCTTCAAGCCTGGCTCCGTGGACGCTATCCAACAGGTTATCAACATTGCCAAGGCAAACCCTAAGTTCCCCGTCATTCTTCAGTGGACTGGAGGCCGTGGTGGTGGGCATCACTCTTTCGAGGATTTCCATCAGCCCGTCCTACAGATGTATAGCCGTATCAGACGTTGTGAAAACATCGTCCTTGTGGCAGGCAGTGGTTTTGGAGGCTCTGAAGATACATATCCTTACCTTTCTGGAACCTGGTCATCTCGTTTCGGCTACCCTCCGATGCCTTTTGACGGTTGTTTGTTCGGTAGTCGCATAATGATCGCTAAGGAAGCACACACATCGAAGAACGCGAAGAAGGCCATTGCAGATGCCCCTGGCCTTGACGACCAAGATTGGGAGAAGACATACAAGGGCTCTGCAGGTGGCGTAGTGACAGTCCTCTCTGAAATGGGGGAGCCGATCCATAAACTTGCAACAAGAGGCGTTTTGTTCTGGCACGAAATGGACCAAAAGATTTTCAAACTCGACAAGGCAAAACGCGTTCCCGAACTCAAGAAGCAACGCAATTATATAATCAAGAAGCTGAACGATGATTTCCAGAAGGTTTGGTTCGGTCGCAAAGCCTCCGGCGAAACGGCTGACCTCGAAGACATGACGTACGCAGAGGTGGTTCATCGTATGGTGGACCTAATGTACGTCAAACATGAATCCCGGTGGATCGATGGCTCTCTTAAGAAATTGACTGGTGATTTCATTCGCCGCGTCGAGGAGCGTTTCACTACCCTTGGGGGTCAGCCATCTTTGCTACAGAATTATTCAGAGCTCAACACTCCCTACCCTGCCGTTGATAATATCTTGGCAGCCTATCCTGAAGCGGCAACTCAACTGATTAATGCTCAAGACGTTCAGCATTTCCTTTTACTTTGTCAACGGCGCGGCCAAAAACCAGTCCCTTTTGTTCCTTCTTTGGATGAAAATTTTGAGTATTGGTTCAAGAAAGATTCTCTCTGGCAAAGTGAAGATTTGGAGGCAGTTGTGGATCAAGATGTTGGAAGAACCTGCATTCTGCAAGGGCCAATGGCTGCTAAATTTTCGACTATCACCGACGAGCCTGTCCAAGATATCTTAAATGGCATTCACCAGGGGCATATCAAGAGCCTTCTCGAGGATGTGTACAGTGGCGATGAGACCAAGGTCCCCGTCATCGAATATCTTGGAGGTCGGCTTGACGATTCCGTTGATGAGCCGGAGATTGATGGCCTTACCATCTCTGAAGATGCTAACAAGATTAGCTACCGACTATCGTCTTCCCCTTCCTCCGATTTGCCTGAGCTTGATCGCTGGCTACGTCTCCTTGCAGGCACCTCCTACTCTTGGAGGCATGCGATCTTCCTTGCCGATATCTTCGTTCAGGGTCATCGTTTCCAAACCAACCCATTGAAGCGAGTCGTTGCACCGACTTCGGGCATGTATGTCGAGATGGCCTACCCAAATGATCCTTCTAAAACGGCCATTAGCGTGAGGGAACCTTATCAGTCAGGCAAGCTTGTTAAGACAGTAGAAGTGAAAATGAATGAGAAGAACCAGATCAGCCTTACTCTTTTCGAGGGCAGAACTGCAGAAGGCGGCGTTGTTCCGCTGACATTCTTGTTCACTTATCACCCTGAATCAGGATATGCGCCCATCAGAGAGGTCATGGAAGGACGCAATGATCGTATCAAGGAGTTTTACTACCGCGTCTGGTTTGGAAACAGCGATGTTCCATTCGATACCCCTACGACAGCAACTTTCAATGGTGGTCGTGAGACTATATCGTCACAAGCTGTCGCTGATTTCGTCCATGCTGTCGGCAACACCGGTGAAGCTTCGTGGATCGCCCTGGAAAGGAAGTCTTTGCTCCTATGGACTTCGCCATCGTCGCTGGCTGGAAAGCCATTACCAAGCCCATCTTCCCTCGTACTATTGACGGGGATTTGCTGAAATTGGTCCACCTTTCTAATGGCTTTAAGATGGTCCCCGGGGCCCAGCCTCTTAAGGTTGGTGATGTTCTAGATACTACAGCCCAGATTAACGCTGTGATCAATCAAGATTCGGGTAAAATGGTAGAGGTCTGCGGTACTATCAAGAGAGATGGCAAACCTATCATGCATGTCACCAGTCAGTTCTTATACCGGGGAGCATACTTGGACTTCGAGAATACTTTCCAGCGTAAAGACGAGGTTCCGATGCAGGTTCACCTTGCGTCGAGCAGGGATGTTGCGATCCTTCGGTCCAAGGAGTGGTTTCGTATTGATGAGCCTGATGTTGAGTTATTGGGTCAGACTTTGACCTTCCGCCTTGAAAGTTTAATTCGATTCAAGAACAAGTCCGTATTCAGCCACGTTCAAACAGTCGGTCAGGTTCTTCTTGAACTCCCTACAAAGGAGATTATTCAAGTTGCGTCTGTGGACTACGAAGCCGGAGATTCTCACGGAAACCCAGTGGTGGATTACCTTCAACGAAATGGGACTTCCATCGAGCAGCCCGTGTACTTCGAAAATCCCATCCCTCTCAGTGGAAAGACGCCTTTGGAGCTGCGTGCTCCAGCTTCTAACGAGACCTATGCTCGCGTCTCAGGCGATTATAATCCGATCCACGTCTCACGAGTCTTCTCCAGCTATGCCAACTTGCCGGGCACTATCACCCATGGCATGTATACGAGTGCCGCTGTTCGTAGCTATGTGGAAACCTGGGCTGCTGAGAATAACATTGGCCGTGTCAGGGGATTCCATGTATCCCTGGTCGGAATGGTTTTGCCCAACGACATGGTAACTGTCAAATTGCAGCATGTTGGTATGATCGCTGGCCGTAAGATCATCAAAGTTGAGGCTAGCAACAAGGAGACAGAGGACAAAGTTCTTCTTGGTGAAGCAGAGGTGGAACAACCTGTTACCTCGTACGTTTTCACTGGACAGGGCTCACAAGAACAAGGAATGGGAATGGAGCTGTATAGCAGCAGCCCTGTTGCTAGAGAAGTTTGGGATCGGGCTGACCGCCACTTCATGGAGAACTATGGTCTTTCCATCATTGATATCGTGAAAAACAATCCCAAGGAACTCACCGTCTATTTTGGTGGCCCCCGCGGCAAAGCCATTCGTCAAAATTACATGTCGATGACCTTTGAGTCTGTTAATGCAGATGGAAGCATCAAGTCTGAGAAAATCTTCAAGGAAGTTGACGAAAATACAACGTCTTACACTTATCGCTCACCGTCCGGATTGCTCTCTGCAACACAATTTACACAACCAGCTTTGACATTGATGGAGAAGGCTAGCTTTGAAGATATGCGTTCCAAGGGCCTGGTCCAAAGAGATAGCAGCTTCGCTGGTCACTCGCTTGGTGAATATTCAGCTCTTGCAGCTCTTGCCGATGTTATGCCTATTGAAAGTCTGGTCTCTGTGGTATTCTATCGCGGGTTGACCATGCAAGTCGCTGTCGAACGCGATGAACAAGGTCGTTCCAACTACTCTATGTGCGCTGTCAATCCAAGCCGAATCTCCAAGACCTTCAATGAACAGGCTTTGCAGTATGTGGTAGAGAATATCTCGGAGCAGACTGGCTGGCTACTAGAGATTGTCAACTACAACGTCGCAAACATGCAATACGTTGCTGCTGGAGATGTGAGTCTACCCTTTCCCGTTTGATTACGAGCAATCTCTCTAACTAAGCTTTCTCCTATATAGCTCCGAGCACTTGATTGTCTTACAAATCTACTCAATTATTTGAAGGCTCAGAACATTGACATTCCCGCTCTCATGCAGAGCATGTCTCTGGAAGATGTCAAGGCCCACCTAGTCAAGATCATCCATGAATGTGTCAAGCAGACCGAGTCTAAACCTAAGCCCATTGCCCTTGAGCGTGGCTTCGCTACTATCCCTCTGAGAGGAATTGACGTTCCCTTCCACAGCACTTTCCTCCGTTCTGGTGTCAAGCCTTTCCGGTCTTTCCTGCTAAAGAAGATTAATAAGAACACTATTGATCCCAGCAAGTTGGTTGGAAAGTATATTCCCAATGTCACAGCTCGCCCCTTCGAACTCACCAAAGAATATTTCGAGGATGTCTACAGGCTCACGAATTCACCGCGTATTGCTAACATTTTGGCGAACTGGGAGAAATACGAGGAAGAGAGTGAGAATGTCTCACGCGGTGGCGGTACCACGTCCGCTTGAAAAAATGGCCAGAGAAAGGAAGCTCCTTGCACAATTGTTACTTTATAATGCTGTTTGCCTCTCGCCTCTCGTCTCTCTATCTTCGCCCAAGGATGTTTCGGCTTAGCGCTGGGTGTTTAAAACGTCTATCCCAATTCTGCTGTTCAAGTGCTATTTATACCTCAATCCCCATTTCATAGATAAACTACTTTAGAATGACCTCAATAGATGTTCAATTATCACACTGACTGAAACCTAACGCTGTGCTTACAATGATTGGATGGTTTTGAACTCAAACATCCGTGTCAGGGGCTTTCCCAATCAACTCTCCTTCAGCGTCCCGGGTCGTAGCAGTCGATCTTCTTTGCCATAAACTCCCACATCTTTGACAATCGCTATGAACTTTCGGTGATTCTCCTTTGACTCACCAATACGGGGACGGAATATTTTGAGCAAGTCGCTACTGAGTATACCCGAGGGGGGGATAGCAGCATGAATCTCCGCGGGCGTAGGGAAGCTTTGATTTCCAGCGAATACTGGAGTGGAAACGCGAGTTTGCCCTTTGTATACAGCCCAATCAGAACAATGCTACATGGCCAAAAGGGAATTCCCAAACAAGATAAGTTAGACTTACCTCTGAAAGACTCAGGGCTGCTAGCACGGCTTCCCGAAAAGCCTTTACCTGTCAGGGGTGTGGGACTTCCTGCCCTGGATCCCTGGGGAGTCCCACTCTGAGAGACTGCTGGGGGATTAAGCTTGAGTTTTTTAGTTTTACCACTTTCGCTCATCTCCCCGCCGGAACCTGCGCCGCCATCGGCATCGCTCCCGGAACCTGCACCACCCAGAGGTGCGTTTCGAACACGCTTCTTGCCAAGCTACAAAGGGGTTAGCTAACTCTCGAGTAGACCGGGAGGTTCTGTTAGCAAACTTACTGGCATTTGCGATGACGCAACTGGAGACATGTTACGCGAGCTTGGCTGAGGTGTGGGCTGAGAGGACAGGTCCTTACTTTTACCCTTTTTGCGAGACGTGTCTGTCCCACTCGCATCTGACACGTTGGGAGACCCCAACCGTTTCCGTGGTGCAGCTGCCGTGCCTTTCTTCAAAGGATCAGTATGCTTAGGGCGGCCGGATGGCGTATTGTTGCCCTTGGAGGATGCCGTTGCTTCCTTTTTGTTCTTTTCCTCCTCGGCTTTCCGTTCTTCCTCCTTCAATCTTTCAGCCTCGCTATCATCAGAGCTCTAAAATGGGATGAAAAATATTGTTAGTAACAGTACGAGCGTACGGAATAGGGTGCCATTCTCACCTCGTCGTCTGAATAAGGATTAACGTCAGATCCACTACTGTAGTCGTAGTTCTTTTCTCGTTTTTGTAATGCTTTTCGAACCTTTTTTCCAAGCACACGACGAGCCTCCTTCTCTTTCTTTTCTCTCAATTCCTCTTGTTCGTAGTCTTTCTCGTCTTTCAGGTCAAAGACATTGGCTTTCAACTGGTCTTGCTTGATTCTCTTCTCCGCTGCCTTTGCTTCCTCATCCTCGTTGAACAGGTCATCATGCTCTTCGTCATCAGCAAATCGATCTTCTTCAAAATCCATTTCATCGGCCTCCAACCCCTCAACTCCAGACGGAGTCCCTTGTTTACCAGCGTATACCTTCCGCTGCTTAGCGAATTGCTCCAATTCCTTTCGTTGAGCTAGTTCTTGTTGCTTCTCCATGAACCACCGTGGATCTTTGACTTTCTTTGCCATGAACTTCTCCGCTTCCTCGATAGTCAAAGCTTTGAATTGATTTTTAGCATTGAATCTATACCATTTTTCCACAGGAATCATCCTCATTTTCCCCGTAGCCTCAAGTATAAATACCGCATGGGTTTCGGACAGAGCAGCTTCATAGTTCCCCACCCATATATTTTTGTTGTCGAAGTCTTCTAGATGCCACGGCAAAGCCTCTTCGTACTTGATTCGCGTCTTCGCCATCTCCTCGGGAGTCATATCTGTCTTGGACACCTGCTGAGTTTTTTGCTTGGGCATGTTCGCTCTCTTCGGGGCAGATCCAGCGGAAGGAGCTATTTGGGCCAGGTTCTCGGCACGTTCCTTCTCACGGGCAGCCTTCCTTGCCTCTAGCTCTTCACGCTCAGCCTCATCCATATGATGACTAGATTCAGACGCCGTTTTCTGCATGCCCTGGCTCTTCTCCAATGCTATCCCATGGGATCGGGCGCGCGGATCGCGACGTTGAAGCCTGACAGGCCTAGTGAACTGGGACTCGTCACGCGGATCGACTGTCTTCTTTGATGCGAATCTAGCAATATGATGTTTCAAGCCTTCCCGCAACGCGCGTTTTGTCGTGACTAAGGGGTAGTCCGTATATGTTTCGGATAATAGTGGGCCGCTAAAACCATTGGCGGAGAAATCAGCCCCTGAAGGTGAAGGCTTTCCTCTCTCAGAATGAGGCATAGATAACGGATTGGAAGTAGCTGGTCGCGAAGAAGCTGCTTTTGAGGCTGGTCCATTTCCGGAGACGGGAATAGCTGGTTTGGGTGCCGGCTTCCTTTTTGGTCGTACTAAAGGATCTGCTGCCTTGGGGCGACGGATTCTCATGGGTGGAGGTCCATTTGAACCCGTCGGAGTTCGCACATTTGGGCCGTTCGTAGGTGTAGCCATGTTACCGGTATGCTTTTAGACACGTGAAGCTCCTTCCGAGATACATGTACCTAGATCGCAAAAGTCCTGCTTGCACGATGCACACATATCAAGGAAAGAGATCGGTTTTGGTATTTGACCAAAGACAGAATTGTCTTGGGTACTAAAGGAGTTGTCGAGGAAAGATGAAGATGGCAATGTTGATTGACGGAGTAGCAGCGGAGTGGAGTGTCGTGGTTCAACTGAAATGTACTGATTACTTAGGTAAGCACAGCCACAGAGTATCTCACTAGTTGGTTATCTTTCAATTACGGAGTAGTTTGTGAGATTTACAGTACCACCTGCAGTACGGATTACGTATATACTCCGTACTCCGTATGGTAAGACGGGACTAGTACTACTCCGTAATATGCCTGGTATATCATTCTCACTCCGCCCAACAGTTCAACTTCCGCCATCCTCCATTCACTTGACCTCTCACTGTAGATCAATTTCACTTAGTCTGAAGGACAGGTTACAGATTTCCTCGAAAACAACAAGGACAAGAAGTTAAGAAAAGACTGAGAACGAATCTCTTTCCCTTTCACACCATGCTCCTTCCCGCCATCCCGTTATCATTCTTCTCACAGTATCTACACCCATGTTTCCATTTACATCCCACTTCTATCGGTTGACCTTTTCTCCAGCGCCAGAAGACAGTCAGTATTGGCAGTGGCATCGCTCACTTGATGGAAAGTTCCATCTTGTAGTCCCTTCTCTCCATTCCTACTACCAATTATCATCTTGCACTTTCACTAACATCGGCCAATCATGGCCTATGAGATCCCTCAACATTCTGAATCATCAGCTGCACCCATTATGACTGATAAAAGACGCGACCTTGCACATGGGCCTGCTATCGCTACTCCTCTATCCTCAGGAATGGACCACTTACCTTGTCATGTCATTGAGATGCTAAGTCATGCCAGTACGCAACTGTTATCCCAACAGCAGCCATTAATCGCTAGCCACTACGCAAATCATTGCAATATTGAGGTCAGCCCTAGTAGTTCGACTCATCGTCAAAGAGCGTTCTATTCAAAGGGCCATACTGAGGAGTGCACGACGAATGACAAGGCTAAAACATACCCTGTGCACCACCAATCAGTTCTGGAGACTGTACACGCAAGTAATCCAGCTAGCTATTCCTATTCGCATGCCCCTAGGACCCGGTTCGGTGATCAACAGTCTGATCCTTGCAGGCGACTTCAACTTCAGATAAACTATCTGAACTCCCTGGCAGCCCGAGTGCCCTCTTTCGGTTCACTAGCTAGCGAATTTCGCAGCAAGGAAACCCTGCGGATTTTACTGACCAAGATCGCCCGCGAAGCGCTTGAACGACATTCCAAGCAGCGTGGCTATACGATTAAAGATAACGCCATTGACCTCAAATGCTTTGGCAGTCTGCGGAATGGTTTTGCATTGCCTGGAGCTCACCTTGACCTACTAATGACCACCCACGGAGAAGTGCTCCCAAGAGATGTAGAAGCAAGGTGTCCTCAAATTTTGTATGAGGCATTTCTTGATGCCGGCTTCGATGCTCGGATGATTCAGAAGGCCAGGGTTTCAATCATCAAATTGTACGAAACCCCTCCCCAAGGACTCTCAAACTCTCTCAAGGTGGAAAGTGGTGGACAGAATAATCATCATTTTCCGAAACAGATTACAAATCCGGAGGCGCTATCTTCGGTAGGCGTTCAGTGTGATATCAACTTTTCTGGGCGCCTGGTACTATACAATACCGAATTACTTCGTTGCTACGCCCTCTGCGACGAAAGGGTCCGTGTTGTCGGCATTTTCGTGAAGATGTGGGCCAAGGCTCGAAAAATCAATAGTCCATACCATGGAACACTCTGTTCGTATGGCTATATTCTCATGGTCATCCACTACTTGATGAACGTCGTAAATCCGCCTTTGGTTCCTAATCTTCAGCTTTTGGGTCGGCTGTCACCTAGACACTCTAGCACTACGGGTCCCAACAAGTATGATGTCCGTTTTCTCAAGAATGAGACCGAACTTAGGAGGAGAGCCTGGTATAATATGGCTTATGGGAATCAACAATCCGCCGGCGAGCTGCTTCGTGGCTTTTTCGCATACTATGGAAGCCAATGCAAAACTACGCCCTCAAGCTCTTTCAACTGGGTCCAAGACATTGTTTCAATTCGCACGCAGGGAGGCATACTTTCCAAGCTAGAGAAAGGCTGGAACACCGCGAGGACTGACGAGCACGGACGCCGGCTCAGGTTCCTCATAGCAATTGAGGACCCCTTCGAACACAACCATAATGTAGGCAGAACTGTCACAGACAAGGGCCTGGAGACTATCAGAGCAGAGTTCTCCCGCGCTCAGATCATCATACGTAGAGTTCAGGAAATTCCAGGAGTCGGGTGGGAATGGAGAACAGACAATGGCCACATAGGTCAGGACCTGCTCGCGGAAGCGGAAGATAGCTCAAACCAGCAACCTTGTGGAACCACCACATTCGCAGGATTGAAAAATCAGCAAGTGTTCCGTACTCGTGGTATGAATTTCTCAAGTGAAATTCGTGCTTATAACAGACTCATATGCCCCTCGGCAGCTGCCCAGAAGCAGCGGACACAGCGCGAGAATTTTCATCGACAGGCTACTCTCGCTGCAAACACGATGCGACGAATGTTGCGTATTGCAGACGGCCAAGGAACAGGCGCTTCCTACCGGGTGACTCTTGACTCATTGCAATTTCATGGTCCAAATGCAATCCATAAGAAGGACTCGACTGCTCAGGGGCAAATGAATCAATGCGAAGCGGATACAGCCAATGTTGAGTTGCTTGCTACGCTTCCTTTCAATGAAAAGCGCCTCTGTTGAAGACCTACTTTAGCTGAGCCATGAATTAGTTATTCCTTTTGTTATTCTAACATTGAGTTCAATGCCGTTAAGATGGCATGCACTGCCTTCGTTCAAATAAAAAGCCTTCCACTTTGCCAATTAATTCCTAGCAAAAAGCTCTTATTTGATAAAGGAGAGAAGTAAAGGAACTACCAGTATTCACCAACTCAAAAGAGCTCTACCACCTGCTGGTCATCATGTTCCCGCTGTGTACCTCCAGGCTGTCCACCATTTTCTCCCTCCTCGTCCCGCATCAAGACCTGAACCAGCCTGTCGCAAGCTTCTCGAACATCCTCATCATCAACGTTCAGATGACATTCTCGGATGATGGGATAGACCTGTACCTCCCTCATTCTATCTCGCCCTTCCCGAGTTGTTGTTAGCAGTAGTAACGTTTCCAGATGTGTTACAATAATGCTATTGTCGCTATCCCTCTTTTTGTCTGGGGGTAGCAGCTGAAGGTCTGGTAGCATAGTCAATGTCTCTTCTTCGCTAAACTCTTCCGGGCCTGCTAGCGGCAGCAGTATGTAAGGGAGGAGATTGCCTTCATCTTCAGCGAAAAGGGTGGGGTGGAATGGGATGTCAAACGCGACATTCTTAATTGTTGATGCAACTCCCTTTCTCCGAATCGAGCTTTGATGTTCGGTGAAAACAGTAAGCTTTGTTACAGGCACCACACCATCATACTCCTGGCGCGAAGTAAAATACGCCCGACCTTCCTTAGACTTCGACAAGTCGGCAAACACGTAAGACAGGTAGTCATAGGTGGCGTTTTTGTTGAGGGCGCCCTCGGCACCTTTCACGAAACAATCCATCAGTTGATCCATTGCATTCGGCGAAGTGGACACCGGCTCTGGAACCCTTCGTTTTAGGGTTAGCAGTTTCTTCATTTTCTCCGACTTGATCAAATTGGCGAAAAGCATCGACACATCATCCGCATTCGGCTCCTTGATGTTCTAATGTCGCATTTATTGGTTAGGACATGTGTCGTCCCGCGTCGAGTACGGGGTACTCACCGTCACCTTTGTAAAGAGAGTCTCAAGAAAAGTATCGTCATCCGCAAGGTTGGCCAACACCTCTTGGTCAGCCGAGAGGTTGATGAGCATTGTCAGGGCATTTTTCGCGATCGGCTATTCAGTAAGCGACCTGGCCAGGATTCGACCGGGCGGGCACTAACAGTGTAATCTCGCACCAAAAGCTTCAAATCTCGTACTGGCAGAAGCTGATGGCGTTTGAATAAGTTCGGCTGGGCAGTTGAGAAACCAACGAGGTTTTCACAGGCTAGAATATGTTATTACAAAACATCCGCAAATGGTCCCACGAGGGAAATCGATTCTCCAAGCTGTTCATCGGGTTTATAGAGGGTCCCTATTACCGATCTGTCTGATTTGAGTATTTCCATGATGAAGGAATTCGACAAGCTGAAGTGCAATGAGATATTCGTTAGGCAAGCTGAGCCCAGGCACTGCTGCAGGGTGCAGGGAAACGAACCTCCTCCAACTCGGTGGGCATGTTGAAGGTTACCTAGGTATATAGCTAGCCCAGTGGTAAATTTAATTAAGATGAATACATATATTTTCCTGAATGAAAATATAGATAGACCAGTACTTCGAGTAGTAAGCAGCGTTTGGAGAGTATCAACCTCTCTCCTTCTCTCTCTGTGTCTTTT